GACGTATTAGTAAAATCAAAGTTAGAAAGGCTTTAAAGAAAATGAAGTGTAAAAAAGTTGTTAGACCTGATGATATTCCAATAGAGGTGTGAAAATGCTTAGGAGATGAAGGAATTTCTTGACTTAACTTTTTAATATTATTTTGAAGACTAAAAATATGTCTGATTAGTGTGTTGACTCCTATTTTTAAAAATAAAGATAATGCACAAGATTGTGCGAAATAAAGAGGAGTTAAGTTAATGTGTCATACTTACAACTTTGGTAGAGAGTTATGAAGCATATATTACGATGTGATACTAATGTTTCTCAAAATCAATTTAGATTCATGTCGGATAGGGCTACTATGGAAGCTATACATTTATTGAGAGGTTTGATGAAGAAGCATAGAAAGAATAAGAAGGATCTTCATATGATATTTATTGATTTAGAGAAAGCAGATGATAAAGTTCCAAGAGAAGTGCTATGGAAAGTTCTAGAAAAGAATGACTTAATAATGCTTATATTCAAGTCATTAGGGATATGAATGCAGGTGTTGTTACTTCTGTTCAAGCACAAGGTGGTTTGACCAAGCATTTTTCTATTTATGTTGGATTACATCAAGGATCATCCTTAAGCCCATATCTTTTTGCTTTAGCCATGGATGTTATCATTGTGCTTTTTGTTGATGATATTATTCTTATTGTTAAGACTAGAAAGAAGGTAAAGATAAACTTGAATTATGGAGGTCAACCTTAAAGTCTAAAGGTTTTCGTTTGATTGGACCTAAAACTGAATATATAGAGTGTAATTTTAGTATTAATTGATCTAGAGGAGGGTTTGTGAGTTTGGGTGATCAAGTCATTAATAAGAGTATATGTTTTAGATATATTGGGTCTATTGTTCAAAGTGATGGCGAAATAGATGGGGATATTATTAGCAGAATTCAAGTTAAATGGTTGAAATGGAGGAATGCATCAAGCTTATTGTGTGCTAGAAAAATCCCCCTCAAATTTAAGAGAAAATTATATAAGATGGTGATGAGACCCGTAATGCTTTATGGTACATAATGTTGGTCATTAAAAAAGAAGCATAATATTAAGTTAAGTGTTGCAGAGATGAGGATGCTCGGGTGGATGAGGTGATTGACTCTTATAGACAGGATACGAAATGAGCATAAACATGAAAAGGTTGGAGTAGCTCCAATGAAAGATAAGATTAGAGAGAGTCGCCTTAGATGGTTCGGTCACATAAAACGGCGGCCTTCCGATGACTCGATTAGGAAAGTATATGTATTAGATTTGGCTTATGTTAAGAAAGATAGAGGTATATCTAAAAAGACTTAGTTACAAAATATTAGAAATGGCCTTTCTTTTTTAGATTTAAATGAGAATTTGACCATTAACAATACACAATGGAGAAAAAGGATTTCAAGTAGCCAACCCACATAGTGAGATAAAGGCTTGATGTTGTTGTTGTTGTTGTTGTTGTTGTCGTCGGCGTCGGCGTCATAACAGACTTGTTAGTATGGGAGCTGGCCCAAATATATAAGTTAACCTATGGGTTAAATCCAATGGAAAGCCCAATTTTAGTTAGGATAGAGCTTACTACTCTATTTATGAATTGCCCAAAATATTGGGTCTTATGATCTTGCCCTATATGCAAGGTAACTATAGACCTTAAAAGACGCCTATGAAGTTGCAGATTGATTATAGTTCATATATGCACTATGTAGGCCCGAAAGATCAATAGAAGGCAAATTAAATGTATCTATCCTAGAGAATTACCCTGCAAGGAAAGTGGCTCCAAACAAGATATATTTTAATTTTAGGGGGATTGAGATTTTCTGAAAGAGTAAGCTCCTAGCCTCTTGGGTTAATTACATCTCGAGCGTGTTTGAGAACACTTTCAATTAAGAAGTCAACACTTGTGTTCAAATTGAGAAGAATCGGTACAAGTTTGGTTAGGTCAAAGTTAAAATGGACTTTATGGGGCTCAATAGAGGATAAGGGGAGGAACATCAAAGGAATTAAAAAAGGTAGACTCAAAAGTACCAAAATAGATTTGAAAGAGACTTATAACTCCAACATCTATAAGGAGCTATGCGGCCTATGATCCCATGTGGCAGCACTATCCAGGAGAAAAAGAATGAGTGAATGTAGAAAAGTGAAGACTAATCTACTGAGTGGGTATGACACCCCTAATCAATGTTCTATGACTCCATTTTCTCAGGTTTGTTAGTGGCCTTAATCTACTTAGCCACGTGGCAAATTGAGGAACGTTGTTAGTAATCATAGGTTACCTCATTCAAGGTGGGCCTATTCCTAAGCTGACATACGGGGATTATTGTAATACCCCATGAAGACTCCTTTAGGTCAACACAAGGCCAACAGAGATATTTACCATTAATGTTTTACATACCATAATTTCTAAACCGAAGAATTTAAAATTTTACACAATCATTTGAGCAAAAGCATATTCATTTTTTTCCATTTATTTAACTACAGAGATTCTAATGCACATCATGATTATGTTGTATATCATCAAATTTTCATGATAGAAATATCTAACTAAGTTTTATCTTACAACAAAATTGTACACCTAAAAGATAGAATAGTCAATCAAAAGATAACCCTTATTTGGGTTCTACTTTTTCCGTCGTTTTTCTTGAAATTACATTCAACATAGTACTATATAAGCTATAATAACTTCGCAAGAGAAACAGATCTAATAGAGAATTCAAATATCAGAAAAAAATTCAAGTATACACATACACTAATCTAGGGTTTTACCTAGAATCCTTAAACATGAAAATACTAGAATAATATCTGATCTAACTGTAATTAAAATATATAATTAGAAACAAAACTTTTAGAAGAATATTAAATGTTCAAACATTGACAACACCACATTAAAAGTGTGTATAGGCATCCTTCTATTTGACTAATCTTTTCTGAATTTATTTTATCATTTACCTATAAAACTCTTCTTTTAACTTTAGAGAATATCATATACGTGGAAGTAGTTTCTTGGATCGCGTAAGGTTGAAAGCTATTTATCAAGGACATTTCTCCTCCACAAGGGCCCACCTTTATTACCATATCAGTACAAGTTATCATACACATCTTAACTTTTAGAATAATTTTGCCACCATATGGACTCACATTTGTCGCCCTACACGTATAGATTTTATTATTGTCAACTTAACCATATAATTAATATTTCTTAAACTCATTCCATTCAATTATTTTTTTAAACATCTAGATGTATTCATTATTTTCTTTCCTTATAACATTAAATGCATACCCTTTTAAATTTAAAATTATTACAAAACTTTGTAATTTAATTTGAAGAATGATTTGATACAATTAGCTTATGAGATCTATCGTGTTAAATTTATTCCCAATTGTTTCAAATGAAATTGCTTTTTGAATTAAAATTGAGAATCATTCTTAATTGATGGATGACTAACCAAAATATACACTTCTGAATTCCTTCTCCACAGCCACCACCTTCTCCATCAGGTTTCTCATTTCTTACATATCATCTGCCATTATCTAATTCTACCTTACTCAAATAATCTCAACATTTGTTTCAGCCAACATTAGATTAACCTCAACCTAGTACCATTGACCATTGTATTTATCTTCCATCCTTATCTCAACTAGTAATATCTATCATTTTCATTCTCCACATTTTCAAACGGTTGCTATGGAACAATTAGTATCTGAAATGCTTCACTCCAACATTATTTGTCATAATCTCACCTATTTTTCTATTCCGATATTCCTTGTTCAAAAATATGATGGCACATGGCATTTTGCATTAATTCTAGAGCCCTTAATATACTCATCATTCAAGATAAATTCCCTATTCTAATAGTACATTAATTTGTAAATGAATTCCATAGAGTTTTTTTTCAAACTACATTTCCGTTCTACCTCTTAGCAAATTAGGATACATTCTAAAAATATCATAAAACTATTCGTGATTGTCACTATGATTTTCTCCTTAATTCTCTTTCCCCTTCTACCTTTTTACAACTTTTCATTCAAATTTACTTGCAATGGAAATTAAATTTCTGGATGATATCATTTGGGAAAATTTTGCAGCCCTCTCTCGTCTTTTCCTTCTCTCAACCTTGGGGACAATATTACTTTCCATGACGATGTGATTGTTAGACATCAGCAATATATATTTAGCTAAATAAAGTACAAACTAAACGATATATACATGTGTAATAAGCACTAGTTCATTTCTTTTATTCTATTTTTAGTTTGTTTTAGGTAGACTGGTTCTATATTGTAAACTTGGTTTACCCAAGTATCATAAATACACCTCCTATTATAAGAAAATATTATGGAATGAAAGACTTTTGTTTCTCCCTCCTTAGACTCTCTTCTTCCTCTTCTTCTCCCTTAAGGAGTTCACACCTGCTCAAAAGGTGTATTTCCCCACTTCCAGATGTAGATCAAGAAGCATATCGCATTATAAGAAATTATAAAGATGCCAACTACTTGAGATAAGGTTAATGATGATGATGGTAAAATATTATTTTGGAATAATTATTTATAAAAAAGGAGTTTTGAGATACTATGACGATTGAGGATTATATTATGCAATTTTTTAAGCATTCTTCATCTTTTGATAAACCATATTATATATTTCTAAACTATCATAATTTTTTATTATTATTACTAGCATCCCAAACTATTTGAAATTAAAGAAACTTTGATTCAAAGTTTAGATCAAAAAGTAGATGTTAAAATAGATATAATAACATAGGCTTTTTTCCTTTTTTTACACGTATTGCGAATATTCTACTTGAACAGCCCTAAATACCTCATTTATCATATCTAGTCTAACGTTTAGTTTTTATCGTAATAACCTCAGAAAAGAATGGCAGCCAGACAAAGAAGCATTATTCACAAGAAAAACAGCAAATAGATGCATCCTAACTCCAAACGGAAAAAGATAAATTGAAGAAATTGTGCCAAAATTAATCTAAAATTTTAGATTATAACCTTGCTTTTGATAAGAAGAAGATGCTCATCATAAACATCTATTGCAAATTCAAGGTCTATCTTCTCAACGTGTTGATATCTATCCTGCAAGGTGAACATTGTGTAACCATGGATGACAAAACATGAGTGAAAAATTAGAGCAATATCTTGAGAATAAAAAATTTATTGAATGAAACTGCTCAAACAGGCTAGGACCAAATGCAAATATATGAAAAGTTTTTATATACATGCTCATACAGTATTCATGATATATGGAACTCATGCCCCAGGAAATAAAGAAACTAACCAGTAAAAGTGCAGATATTAATCGCTCTCCTGCTTTATTCATTTCACGAAGATCAAGCACCTAAAATATAAAAATTATCAATAGAGAGAACATGATCACCAAAGTAGCATAAAGACAATCTGCAGCCAAAGCATGTTTTAAGGCTTATGTCAACAATCACAAGAGCCCTGTTCCCAGGCAAAGCTGGGCAGAGAAGTTCAATTGCTTTTCAATCAAGGAAATTCTAGTACATCGCTGAAGCATGACTAGTGGCCGTGTCTAAAAAAACTAATCATGAGTTGGAACTAAAAGTTATATATTGCCACCTCCTGGAAAGCTAACTTAGTGCCCCTAAAAATATAACATTACAACCATGCTTCAATAATCATTATCAGTTCCAATCCTTACCCCTTTCTCATGGTTGAACACTATTTTGTAATTCAAACAGGCTCCCAAGAGTGTCAACTAATTGATTTATATCCGCAAATTTCAAAAATACTCATCATTCCCATAGATTATACAGTGGATTCTCACTTTCAAAAGTAAAGCAAACTCTATGAAGAGACTTAGAAGTAGGCCAGTAAACTGATTAGCTCAGTTCAAGGAACTTTTATTTGGTCCGGTCACCTGACGTAGCTCTACGTTCGGACGCCAGTAAAATATTGCCACGTTTCTCACTATTTACCGCGCGGCCCGACAACCATGACCCGGAACGGAGACGGCATTGCTATGTTTACGTGTTGCTAGGTATTGCTCGGTATTTGCTCGGTATTGGTCGATTTTGCTCGGCAATAACGAGAAATACCATTCTTTGAAGATCAATACCGAACAATACCGAGCAATACTGAGTTTTTCTCGGTATTTCTCGGTATTGGTCTTCACAGAGCGATATTTTTCATTATTGTCAAGCAATAACTAGCAATACCGAGCAATACCTAGCAATACCGAGCAATACACGAATATAGCAATCCCGGGTCAAGTCGTCGGGCCGCGCGGTATTGAGTAAGACCACGTGGCGACATGTTATTGGCGTCCGAACGTAGAGCTACGTCAGGTCACCTGATCTAATAATTGTTCCAGTTCAAGCCACCCTTTCTATGACTTCAACTCAAGTACTATATTGAATCATCATTCTAATCAAGTTGGGGTAAACATATTTTAAGATTCACATCAAAATGAGCATCAGCTAAACCCTAAAGTAGATTTAGACATAGATATTGGAGTGCTTAAATGAGAAAGATGATGAGGTGCCGGGTTAGGTCTTGACAGTAGAGTCCTTACTGCTGAAGAGGACAAAGGGATCAAAGTAGAGTTGTCACCAAACAATGGAAGCAATGATTTTATAGAGGTGCTGCATAAAACTCACAATTTCATGGAGAGCAAGGGAGCCAAACAACAGTACAAACCAAGTGAGGCAATCTAGTCTTGCTTCTGTTGATGCATAATGATAGCTAAAATCTCCCAATAAAGTTGGATCTAATTACAAAATGAAAGATCAAAGGGAGAATATTTTCGCCCATGACAGCAACCTTGGTAACAAGGCAGGACAAGGACAACATTGAATATTGCTGAAGAAATGATGGACTAGATGTAAACATCAACTTGAATAGGCACCAATGGGTTGTGATGTGAAGGAACATGGGTGGATTAATAGAGAGAGAAAGGGAGGAGGAAAGCAGAGGAAGAAGTGGAGAGAATAAGAGAGACATGATAGGTGATAAGGTACTAGACATGTCCTTTTAGGGTTTTGTTGGTTATTTGCAAAGGTGTTGTCTAGACCATTGGATAAACCTACATTCTAAATGAACATATTCATTCATTTAAACGTATATGTAAATATGTAATATGATCATACCTACTGGCATCCAATTCCAAACCAATACTTTGTAAATGAACCAAGTTAGAATAGCTTACTTTATATTGGTGGGATTGTTCGAGATGTCCACACCCATGTGGGAGGAGGGAGACGATTCCATGGCAGGGAATTGGCTGTGAGCCGAAATGCTCTGATACAATGTAAAAATAAAACAGGCTGCATAAATGGAAACAAAGAAAAGAATAGAGTGAAGCAGAGAAATGGAAATTCGTTTATGTATTCAGCGCTTATAACCTTATTGTAGCTTTATGTATTTATACAGGAATGCGTCCGTTAAGCCTTACAGGTGTGTAATGGTATTATTGGTTGAGTTTGTTATGGCTGGGAGGCATTGATGGTTCCTCCACATGGATCTGTTGAGATGTAGTGGAGGAGAATGCTTTTACACACTATATACAATAACTTCTCAAACAACAACGCTTCTCCAGCTACAATTGGACTGTGGGCGTATAGGGCCGAGAAGCCCGCCCACAGGAAGCCGCTCGGAAGAGGAAGGCGGCCGCATCCCAGTTAATCAGTGATTCGAGTTCTCTGACAGCGGCATTTCTTGAACAGCTCCAGCATCGGCAAAAGCAGCTCCTCTCTTGCGCATTAGCACGAGGTGGAGCAGCTTCCTCCTTGCCTCGTACATTGGATTGGATTCGACGAGGCACCCGCGGTCATAAGCTTCCCTAAGGAATACTGTGTTCCTTCCTCCCCTGGTGGATATATAGAAGATGCCCGGGTGGTCCAGGAAAAGATCGCGGATATTGAAATCGATGCCGAAGGATTTCCGAAAATGGCTAATCTTCTCCACCTCCACCATCTTCTCGACCGTCAAGTTCAGGAACTCATGAACGATCGCCACTGCTCGTTTCTCTAAAGCCCTCTTCCAGCCAAGGTTGCCACTGGCGGAAGGAGGGGGTTTGTATGGGCAAGGGTAAGGTAGGCGTTGCCACTCTTTGAGGCAAGCTCGGAATCTCTTTGTCAGCCGCATGCCTGGTGGGAAGGTCTGCTTGAACCCAAAACGGATCTCTGCTTCATCGCCAGTGGATTTTGAACAATTCTGATTGTGATATGCTAAACGGCAGAGGCGCCAGGCGTCAACAGCGAGTACGACAACAGGGGCGAGGTTTGGGAGAGCAACAATGTGTGTGTTGGGCTCGCGAGGGTTTCTGGAGAGGGAGAAAAGCGAGGGATTGCGTGCGATGACCGAATCCTCAAAGTCTTGTGGGAGACCAAGCTCATGTTTGACGCGGATGAGAGTTCGGAGGGGGAGGGAGCGGGAGTTTGAAAGAGCTAGGAGGCGAGTGATGTGCTCCAGGGCGAAAGGAGCGCCGCAGGAAACATGCTCGGCTAAGTGGGAGGCGGCAGGGGTGAGGTAAACGAGGACGGGGAGGGAAGCGGTAGGGTGGGGGCGGAGGGAGAAAATCGCGGGAAAGGAGCGGACGAAGTGGGCCGGGCCACGGCGAAGGCGGAGGAGGCGAGAGGCTGTGGGGGAGGAGAGGAAAGGAAGTGGGATGGAGACGTCGGCGGAAGCTAGGATAAGGTTTTGGAGGGACAGGACAGAGGTTAAATGCTTGTACCCATCCATTAGCCTCTCCAAGGTCGGATCGCGGTGGCGGGCCGCTACGTACTGTGCAGAGGTCATCTTGTGGCGGCAGAAGAAGGCGATTACGGTGGTGGAGATACGCCTGGAAGCGGCGGCAGCGCGGAGGAACATTGGGAGGTAGGGGGTGAGAATGGGGTGAGGGCCTTGGCGAAATAAAGCAAGGGTTCGAACTTTTACTTAGATGTCTAACCTTTAAAATTTATTATTAACACAATTCTTCTTAGCCTATTGATTGAGATCTTAAGCTTCCAACTAAGAGGTATAGGATTCGAGTCTATCTATCTAGGTTGTTTGTGTTTGACTTAAATGACCTAAATGTCAAAAAAAAAAAAAATTATTCCTTTATCAAAATAATTTTCACAAGTTTAGGGACCTTTTTAAGGGATTTGGAAAAGTTTAGTATTTTGTTGGATGAAAAAAGGAGTGAAAAGTAAAATAAATCTTGTCTAAATTATTCTAGTTCATTTTTAGGTAAAATAAATTAGGCGTGCTCACTTGACCACCACACACCATCATTGGCTAGCGGCATTGGTCCCCATCGGCCACCATTACTGCTGGCTGCCATCACCCGCCATCATCACTGCTGCTAGCTGCTTCCACCTGCGACCAGCCACCATCGTTGCTGGCGGCTGCCACCATCAGTCGGTCATCACTATCTTTAAAACTTTACATTACATTCAATTTACTTCAAACCAAACAAATTACTATACATTTATCCAAATAATTTCAAAGTATTCATTTTATACTATATATATTGTATTCATTTTTTTAGTCAACTAAACAACCCCTTATGACAAATTAAGATTGTCCATATATATAGAGGGTTTGTTTCATTCAAAAACCAAGATTATGACGAATTAGAAGATCAAGTGCGACATGTAGGATGATTTTTAGCTCTTTTCTCTACATCAATAATGCAATATATGATATTTCTTCTGAAGTCAATAATGAATCATAGACTTAACATAGAGATAAATAAGTAGAAACAAATAACAAACAACAAGGAAACATTGAAATTGAAAGAACAGAAGACTGAAAAAATAGAAAAAATTGAAAATTGGATTCTGAGGCCAAAATTTATCCCAATTAGCAAATTTAATGTATCGTGTTCATGCCAAAACCCAATAGAGGCACATCCGGTTGCTAAAGCACAGAGAATAATCATCCAAGAGTGCAAAACAACATGGAGATAGGTGCTTCATCATTGTCCAGTGGCAAGAGGCAGGCCATCCAAATAACCGAGAATATCTTTATAGTGCTTCGAGTTTGAAAGTTTGTTTTTAAAGGCATGAACAATAATGTGAAAAATAGTATCTCTGCATTTCACATGTTATTAATAAGTTAATTTAGATATATTTAGAAATAGAAGCAATCCTTGTCCTATCTTTATTAGTAAACTTCTTATTAAAGATTTATTTCAACAAATATTTCAAATTTTGAAAGATTATCAAGGCTATTTTGCTTTGATTTATTCCAAAATGTTTGGTCTTTCTCCATAAATAATATGTAATAATTAATTTATACAAATATTTCATAAGCCAAGCAAACACCTATGGGATGCATCCTGATATTGAAGGATTAATTATGAATAAAACTTGAAAAAAAAATCCTACTTGACTTGCTACTATTGTCCTATTTCACAAAAAGTCTAAAAATATTCAAGTCTTCATCAAGTATAAAGAATTTAATAGGGCATGTATGGAGGAGGAATTTTCCTTACCTATCCTTGGTTTGTCAATGGTAAATCGAGCAGATGGTGCGTAGTTCGACATGCCATCACACACTATCATGCAAAAATATAAGATATGAAATGGCTAATTCTTTACCCTAAACCCTAAACAATATCTTTTTTTGGCAATATAAGTGGTTGGCTAATTATTTTATTGACATTTTATTTAATACTTATTCTACTTCTACTTGCAAAGTTTAGGGTTTAGGGGTTAGGGTTTAATGTTTAAGGGTTAAGGGAATAGGGTTTAGGGTATAGGATTTAGGGTATAGGGTATAGGATTTAGGGTATACGATTTAGGATATAAGGTATAGGGTATAGGGTATAGGGTATAGTGTATAGGGTAAAGGGTAAAGGGAATAGGGCATAGGGTTTAGGGTCTAGGGTCTAGGGTCTAGGGTCTAGGGTCTAGGGCTTAGGGTCTAGGGTTTTTAGGGTCTAGGGTCTAGGGTCTAGGGCTTAGGGTTTAGGGTTTTTAGGGTCTAGGGTTTAGGGTTTAGGGTTTAGGATTTAGGGTTTAGGGTAGTTTAGGGTTTAGGGTGGTTTATGGTAGTCTAGGGTTTATGGTTTAGGGTTTTTGGGTTTAGGGTTTAGGGCTTAGGGTTTAGGGTTTAGGGTTTTTTTTTTTGGTTAAATCCCACTATAGGGGCTTACGCGTTTATTAAAAATAAGCGATTACAAAAAGTCTTTAAAGAGGCTAAAGGCTCAACTAAAATAAAAGAAAATACATTGAAAAAAATAAAATACATAAGAAAGAAAATAAAATCTAATGAGCCATAAGCCTCTAAACTAATTACAAAATAAGAAAAATAAAAGCTAAAAAGGCCAACAGAACCAAAAAACACCAGAAGGTTGAAATAATTGAAGTAGCAAAGTATAAAATCCATCTCCAATTCTTTAAATATTCATTCTTTAGTATAAATCCAAAACCATGTTGAATGAAGTTGATGAAATCTTTTGAGGTACCTGAAAAAACCTTATAAACATAGAAGTTAAATAACAACTGATAATAAACATGATAAGAAATAAGATCAATATAGATCTTATAGGCTCAGGATAAAAATTCTATTACAGAAGAAATAAAATACCAATTTTCTCAAGAAAATACTGGTTAGGATAGCAAACGAGTCAGCAAATAATATAAACCTCCAAATAATCAAACCATCCACTGATCCTAAAATTAAATAACCAACATCCAAATCCTTCCAGCCATAGTAAAAGTAGGGATGAATTTTCAAATTATTATGAACGGCAACCACCAACCAGCTAAAACAAACAACCATTTCAAAGAGATATGGCAAACAAGACTTCCATAAAATAATAATACTTATATTATGGAAGAAATAGAATACCAGATATCTCAAAATAAAAATGATTGAAAAAAGATTTAAAAAGCAACTTATCCAGATTTTCTCCAAACCAAAGTGAATCATAAATCCCATAACATAATATAACTAGCAAATTTGATACAGAACCAAGACAAAATAGGCAATAAATTCCATCCAACTGCTATCCGAACCAGCAAATTCAAAGAGAAGGCAAATTAGACTTCCATAATAAAATGATTAATCTAAACATCATAGCCAACAAATCAATTAAACCCGAATATATGGTAATCCACATTTATCAAGATTTATTATACCCCTTAATAGAAAGGGTATATTATTCTGATGAAATAGAGTAAAATGATTCAAATTACTACCAATTTTAGCTAAAAAATCAGCAGCTGTATTCCCTTCTCTCCATATATGAGATATTTTATAGTCCATATGAGATAGCATTTTTTTGATATCTTTTAGAATGTAAAAAGTATCAAAATTCCCAATATGATCAGCAGAAATACATTTTATAGCTAACATTGCATCAACTTCTATCCAAATTTTAAAGTATCCAGAAGATAAGCAAATTTGAAGGGCTTTAAAAATAGCCATGAGTTCAGCAAATAAAACAGAACAATTATTAAGAGGAGAAGAAAAAGTCACAATAAGATTACCTTTGTCATTTCTCAGAATACCCCCACATCCACATTTACCTTCAGAAACTGAACCATCCGTATTAACTTTAATAAAGTGAATGCTAGGTTTTTTCCAAATGACAAATTTAAAATAAACTTCATGAATGTCTTCAAAAATATTAGTATTAAGCTTGTTGGAAACAAATTTATAGCCATGAAATTGCTTTTGATGAATCAAATTAACCTTATAGAGGCTATTGATTTTCTCTTTAGTTCTAGCAATTATACGATTATGATTCATAGGAATATTCCTATGTTTAGCATCATTTCTATCAATCCATAAGAACCAAATGAGAGAAATAGCAGTAACAATTTTAATATGCCCTCTAGTAGTATTGTGAAAAATAACAGTAAGAAAATGATTCAAAGATAAATGACCACTAAAATAATTAGTGTTAAAAAGGTTATCAAACCAAATCCAAACTCTAGCAGCAATGGGGCCATTGATAAAAACATGGTTAATGTCTTCAACATGATAACAACATAAGCATTTAGAAGGAAGATAGAAACCTTTCTTCCAAAGAATAGCATCAACAGGAATGAAACCCTTAATAATTCTCCAAACTAAAATAGAATATGAAGTAGGAATGTTGTTGCTCCAAATCTTATAAAAAACCATGGTTACCTCTTTCTTTTTCCTAATGAAATTCCAAGCAACTTTAAAAACAAAATTACCATTATAAGAAAGTTTAAAAAGAATGTTATCTTTTCTTTGATTATCCAAAGAAAGATTCATAATTTTGGTAGCAATGTCAACAGGAATCAGATCTAGAATTCTTTGCATATCCCATTCATTATTATGAAAAAAATTATTAACTTTAACCGCAGAATAAGAAACAGTAGTAAGAAGGGATTCAATAGATCCTGCAAAAAGTCAATTATTTTGCCAAAAAAAACAATTTTCCGAATTAAGACCCCAAGCAATAAGGGATTCCATGATATTCTTAATTTGACAAAGCCTTTTCCAAATTGAAGAGTCACCATGCTTGTAAAAACAACATAAAGGATGTTTAC